GAACAACCTCGTAAGGCACAAGAAAATTTGTTAAACAAGATAAAGTAAAAATGGATGAACAGTGCGCCTAGAAAGGCACAAGCGGATACATGACAATAATATACTAGGCAGTTTAGCTCCGCACGCTACCGCGCGCATGACATCGAAGGCTTCGGTGAAACTGGACAGTCGGTGGAGCGTTAGGTTCCACCGGTAAGAAATAAGTTGCTTCGTGAAATGCGTTAGCTGACTGTCCGCTTGATACGCGCGGTGGAGTACGGAGCTAAAGTGATGTCTGTAAACAACCACCATGCATCGAATGTCAGAATAATTTGGCGGTCGAATAATCTTTGATGCTAATGATGTTGAAATGGAAATACCCAGTACTCATTATCATGTTTCTTCAAACATCCATCCGTACATTTTTAGGAACTTTGGGGTGTAGCGGCCGAATGGTAATTTGGGCTCAGGACGACAATGCAAATGAAATGATACTGAAATGAATAGCGACCTCATGTCAAGAATATAAAGGTCACTCAAAAGGGACCTCTATATTTGTACGCATATCGTTGTTATCAGTCCTTATCAGCCGTTATCACTTTCTGACCCCCACCAAATATGTTCCCGTCCCACCCTCTACATCACTTATTGAAACCAACGCCCAACTGCTGCTGGGACACCACAGTGAATTTCGTGAAATTTGCCTGAGCGCCTCTTATCAGCCCTTATCAGCCGTTATCACTTTCTGTCCCCCACCAAACATGTTCCCGTCCCACCCTGTACATCACTTCTTGGAACCAACGCCTCACTGCTGCTGGGACGCGCGCTATGAATTTCGTGAAATTTGCGTTTCAGCGCCTCTTATCAGCTCTTATCAGTCGTTATCACTTTCTGACCCCCACCAAATATGTTCCCGTCCCACCCCCTATATCATATGAAATCAGCTCCTGACGACTGCTGCGACGCGTGCTATGAATTTCGTGACACACACACAAACAGACAGACATAGCGTTTTATATATAGTAGGGATTATTATTGGCTATTATAAACTTGGTTAGGGAGATTAGTGAACGAGCACAAGAAATATATCCAAAATATTTTAAATCTTCTAAACAACTGTAAAGATTTATTATTTGTGTATGTAGACATGCTACATACATAATACGATACCGCAGTTTGACAAGTAGGGACCACTGTCGAAAATGAGTGCCATATTCGTGAGCCTCTTCACCCCGAAGGTTGAGAGAAAGTAAAAACGCTAGTGCGATATATAAATTAGCTCGCCCCATCTACTAACGTTGCTTTTCCTGTCGACATTGACCGCTCATAACCTCTTGGAAAGCTCACGCAACAGCTTTCGGTCGTCATATTTGTCACCACCATACTTGACTGTATAAAGTAACCTGAGTCTCCATTAAGAAGTTCCACGAGATTTGCAAGCCTTCCCTTGTGCTGCAGTTTAATTCGCTACAGTAAAACGAGCAAGTGAATACATCCAGAGTACGCTGTCGAGACTTCTGGTAGTGGGGAAAGTGGACGAGTGATAAACTGTCACTTTCAGAGAATTTTAAATTCAAAAAAATCATATTTGTTTTCAACTACTGTAATTATATATGCATTTAGGCTATAAGCTTGCAGACTTGATCGGAAGACACAAAAACGGAGTAAAATTGGGTGATAAAATCTCTTGACAGCATGGCCTTTCTGCTTTGCGTTTGCTTTCATGTAGTGCTCCATAAACCTCATCCAATAGACAGAAAACACATGATGTATTTGAAAAATTGAAAAACGGAAGTGTGCAAACATCGGAGCACAAAGAACGATGCTCTGTGATGTCTCGCGGACAGTACACAGACGAACATCCTCCCGCTTCATACTGAAATGGCCAGATAACAATGGGACAATCAATTGAATACTAAGGACAAGATGAAAAATCGAATTAAGCTTACCGAGATCCCCTCGCTTTTTCGACTTTTTAACAAGTAAAAACAATAATACATATCTACACACACACAACAAAACCGCTTTCCTTCCCCATATTGACGGCGACCCTCTGGGCATGCCACTGGACGGTGCATATACAATTTTGGAAAATTAGAATGCCAATGAGTCAAACAAAACGAGTCTCATATTTGTTCAAATGTGAGTGAAGCACATGCACATCACGCAGTAGTAAATTTGTCAAACTAACCTACAGGCTCCTCTAAAGACCTGGATCGCTCAAAGGTAAAGTAGTAGGGTAATGCTGAACATGGTGTGTACAGTTGCCGTGAAATAGGAATAACGCTGAATCAAAATTCCCGAACTTTTACTTTTTCTCTATGTATCATTTCCGGATAGTAATATGGAAAAAAAGACGTTTTCCTGCAACGGTCAGACGGTTGGAATGCTTAACTACACAGGCTTAGCAAAAAATATCCAGAAAGTTGACAGTTCCAAAGCTCAAGATAATTTATACTTCGAAAAATCGCCACAAAGGCTCTGCGAAGAGGCACTCAGTCACAAAACGTGGTTTGCATGTTGATAGCTTTCATAGCACTTTTGACGATTAATGAGGTTTTGAGAAAATTTCCGTGATTCTTTTTTCAAAATGCTCACGAAACATTCTTATTTGAAGCTAAGTGATTTGAAATTTTTTGGATGTCCCTGAGAAAACATCTTAATGGAATTAATTCTCAGTGTGGCCTATAGGATTATTCAAATGGAAATGAGCGAAATATTAGTTAGAACATCAGGTTGAGCGCAACACCATGGCATTTGCCTAAAATGCGTTTTCATGTTCTTTCCCAAGAAAATGTTGAGGAATCCATGTTGCTCTGCTGAAACAAGGCAATCACTGATTCGTTTGGGCAAAGGAGCAATCATCCGATACATCTGGTGTAGCGAGCGCATATTCATACCAGCGTCTGCTGCCGTCGATTTTTGCTTCTCAAAAGTGCAGGACACGTGTATTCAAGACACGTAGTTACAAAAGACGGACACTCCAGAATGAATTGATGTAAATTAAATATAAACAGATGGTGGCAGGTTAAGCGAGAGTGCACTACACATCTATTGCTGCCTATAAAAGTAATGGGCGGCATCAGGATTCCATCACATCACAATGCTGTTCACCATTGCGGCGCTGTCCTTCCTCGTTTTCAACGTTGGCGCCAGAGAATGTCAGTGCGGTTTAGGTGAGCTATTTCGCTACTCATGCCCATCACCATTTAACGTTCCTGACCACGTTCATTTACTGTAGATATTTCGCCTCAGCGATGGTGGTTCTTTTTCAGATCAAGACTGCGTCAGAACCATGTC